AAGACCTGTCTTAACACTAATTTATTCTGTTTCCAGGAAATAATAAAAATATACAGCAAAATTATTTGCACGCAAATTCGCATATTGTGGTACTATAACACTGATTGCACCAAGCAAAAGCAGCAGAGAACATATAGTGTGTACATGTAAGTGAATTAAAATTATACGTCACATCGGCAATATTTCACCCACACGGTGAGTGAGTGAGTGAGTATGTTGAGTTTTACGCCACTTATAGCATTATTACAGCAATACCACATCGGGAAATCACCAGAAATGGGCTTCACACACTGTACCAATGTGGGGTGTCGAATCCGGGTCTTCGGCGTGACGAGCGAACGCTTTATCCACTAGGCTACCCCACCGACCCTCAGCCATATAGCGACGAGACCAACTCTCAACATATACACAAGTCCATTCCAATTACAAAGTTTAAAAAACATATGATGTTACTGCTCCAAAGTTAGACACATCAGTCATTAAAAGGCTTGTTTAATATATAGTAATAGTGAAAAAATAAATTAAATGTAGAGGAAGAAGATTGTTAATACCTAATGCTTAGCTTTCTTTAGACTAACGAATATATATAATTTTGATAGTACCAAATGAACCCATTTAAATTGAAAAGGTGGCCCAGGGAGACCAGAGATTCAGGCCTGAACCTGAGGAAATCTATAGACTTGCTTTATTTAGGGATTTAGCACTGCAGGGAGCGCTAGGCTGTTGGGAAAATAATGTGGTTCAGGGACTTTGAGACAGCCTTCAGCCTTCATCCCAGCCCTGACAGTGAGTGAGTGAGTTTAGTTTTACGCCGCAATCAGCAATATTCCAGCTATATGGCGGTGGTTTATAAATAATCGAGTCTGGACCAGGCAATCCAGTGACCAACAGCATGAACATCAATCTGCGCAATTGGGAACCGATGACATGTCAAACCGAAACATGAGTTTCATTAACCTATTCAGACAATGACCTACTTTTCAGCCGATCCGAATTTTCTAGTGTGAAAGTGAAAATAGACATCACAAACAACTATGGTTACACTGAATTCCAATTCCTTGTTTCATAAGAAAATGGTATTTACAAATGAATTTTAAGTTTGAACTTTAATAACATCGTATTTCTATATTTTATGGCGAGGTGTAGGCAGCATGACCTTAACTAAGACGTCACAGACTGCCCCTGTTTGATGAGGTCGTAAAATGATTCACAATGCATCTGGCTCACTGGTTATACCTGTTATGTGTTTTTTGCGCTTATTCAGAGTAGTTTTGTAACGCACAATGTGATTGATATAATATCAAGTCCGTACCAGACCGCCAAACTTTTCTAGCTACAGAACCTCGTTTTGACATTTCCACGATTTCCAGGTTTCCGTTTGTCAGAGCTCGCTGAACGACAAAGCACGGTGCACGACGTGTTTGCAAGGATTAGAAGGAGCGTGTAGTTTTGCAATATACAAGTGCTTAGATGTATCATATAACACTGATTAATATTTATGTATCCAGTTGAATGAATTGGTCTCAAAATTCTGTACTGGTTATTGTACTAAGTTGGGCAATAGGGCGGGACTCAGTCAACAGGAAACGAGACTCTTGTGTACTCAATGTTTTGACTTGGTCAACCAAGCCAGCGAGCTTGACCACCCAAATCCCGTTAGTCCCGACAAATATGGGATACTGAAGGCCAATTCTAACCCGGTTCTTCACGGGTCGGTTCTTACGACAAACATGGGTTAATGAAGACCAATTTTAACCCGGGTCTTCACGGGTCGCCTCTTACGACAAACATGGGTTACAGAAGACCATTTCTAACCCTGATCTTCACGGGTCGCCTCTTACGACAACATGGGTTACTGAGGACTATTTCTAACTCTGATCTTCACGGGTCGCCTCTTACAAACATGGGTTACTGAAGGTCAATTCCAACCCTGATCTTCACGGGTTTGGGAATAAAGGTAAGAATCAGGTGAATGATCAGTAATACCAGGTATATCACAGCGTGACTGCTTTGTGTTGGAGAAGAAGTTCCAAAGTAATGCAGCTACTCTGGTGAAATCACAAATCTGGCTTGGTGCTGACACACCTGTAAAAAATAATAGGGACCAATCGGGATTCGAACCCTACGATCGTAAGTTTCTGGCGTTGCCAGTTTCTGAACAACGATGTGAATTCGTTTAGTCTACTTCTGGGTAGCCTAGTGGTTGAACCGACGTCGAAGACCAGGGTTCGATTCCTCAATTGAGTACAATGTGAAAAGCACGTTTCTGGTGCCCCCAGCCGTGATATTGCTTGAATATTGCAACAAGCGGCGTAAAACCCAACTCACTCACTAGTTTCATTCCGATTAAGGACCGCCTCCGTGGTGTAGTGGTTAGAGGTCGCGGGTTCGATCCCAGGCCGCGTCATACCAAAATACGTTAAAATATGGTACTTGTTGGTTTGTCGCTCGGCATTAATAGGTACAACAAGGACTGGTCGGCTCGGAGTCAGTATAATGTGTCTGAGTTGGGTATTCATGCTTAACTGCGGCATGATAGCCATATCATATCTTCCTACGAACCTCTGTTCTAATACGACCCTTTCATAGTGCGAGTGTTCAGGATTCGTGATTGGTTGCAATCAGATTTAGTTGTGCAATCAGGGATGTTGTTTCAAAAGTGATTATTCGCTAGGCCTCGGTAATTTCCGTATGTTTCGGGAAAACTAAAACCTCTTCCCTTGCGCGATGCGCAAACGTTTCTTCTAGACAGAACTCAGTCATGTAATGGCGAATCAATGGCGTCCCCATCGCCCTCGTTGACAACAGCTGGCCATTAAATGTCTTGTGTGTCACAGCAACACAAGTCCCCGGCTGAGGAGGGATATTTGTGGCCCCACATTTGCTTGCATTAGTTGGATCTAAGTCGATGTAACATGTGTTCTGATTGGATAAAAAGAAGGGAGATAATTCGTGTTGCGATGTTTTGCCGCTAGGGGATTTTAAGAGAACCGGGAAACATGGCCGTATTAGAACAGAGGTTCGTAGGAAGATATGACAAGTAACCTCTGTTGGAAGAGAATGCATGATAGCAAGCACTGTAAAACAGCTTAAGTCTTGGCTAATACAAGCAGCCACACATACACACGCATGTACGTCGACATATGAACGAATAGTTTCTTAAATACGACGTTAAACCCCATTTCACCTCACCCCACCTTCCGATAAATGCGAGTGACGATGATTTTGTTAATGTAATATACTACTAAAAAAAACTTGAGGAACATTCGATTTGTTCATATATTAAATCCATGTATAATATATCTGTCATGGCGGCCAGGTCTTCCAACGCAGCCCTCCATTGTCGGCGTTCCTTACCTTGCTTTGAGTAGTATATCATTTATCTACAATTTTACACAATGACCAGTATTTGAGTTACATTTACTTGCACACGATCCACGTCCGGAGTGGAAATGAATTCCAATCATCAGAATCAACTTCACGAACAATAGTATGACGTCATTTAGTGACGTCATAGTTTCATATAAGAAAAAAAACAGTACTGTGTTCCATTGTGTCGACTCATGCACTACAACAACCAAGATCACATGACAATATTTAATTTCAAAAGAACATTACATACACACATTAAATTCACGCAATAAATTCTTTTCAAGCACGTAGCATACAGAAGACATTTAGTAAGAGTAGATCTGTGAAGTCTTACTTGGGCAAACATCGGGATGAATGTACATGGTTTATATGAAATGAACAACAATATAACTGACATGAAGCACAGTGCCCATTGTGGAGGCAACAAGGGCCGATGTAATGCGTGACTCTCACTCGTGCAATACACAATGAAATAAGGTTGATGAAAACAATTACGGGGATGCACAGCATATTCCCGTGAGATCATGTATGTTTATACTGCAACCTTTGCTTTTGTTGTTGGGTTGCATAAAGAAAATACATATCCTCGGCCTTTTCAATTTTGGCGACTTCGGGGTACCGTAATTCCCAACAAAAGCGCACTTGTGGTAATTTGACGATCAGATACGCCTTTTGTGTAAACAGCTGTTATTTTTGCGGCGTAAATATTTTGTTTATTTGGAAGGGGATATTCTCCTTTTAGGGGCAATGTAAATAATTTTAGAATCCTTCATGAAATGTTCTTCATGGAACGCGCGATATGTGGGAGTGAGTGAGTTTAGTTTTACGCCGCACTCAGCAATCTTCCAGCTATATGGCGGCGGTCTGTAAATAATCGAGTTTGGACCAGACAATCCAGTGATCAACAGCATGCGCATCGATCTGCGCGATCGGGAACCGATGACATGTGTCAACCAAGTCAGCGAGCCTGACCACCCGATCCCGTTAGTCGCCTCTTACGACAAGCATGGGTTACTGAAGATCAATATTCTAACCCGGACCTTCACGGGTCGACCTAGATGGAGAATCAAAATATATTTAGGTATTTATTATTCTAAATGGCATGTTAGATAAATATGGAAAAGAAGTATATCGATACTCATATCGTAGAGATTTTCAAAACCAACATGGTGCAGGTGGACTGTGAGGTCAAAAGTGTCGGGTCATTTATCATAGTGAGTGAGTGAGTGAGTTTAATGCTGCACTGAGCAATATTCCAGCTATATGGCGGCGGTCTGTAAATACTCGAGCCTGGGGTGCGAAAATTCCTGGTTCTCCGAACTATGGTTTGAGTGTGTGATGGAGGTGGTGTGTGTGTGTGTGTGCGTGTGTGTGTGTGTGTGTGTGTGTGTGTGTGTGTGTGTGTGTGTGTGTGTGTGTGTGTGTGTGTGTGTGTGTGTGTGTGCGCGCGCGTGCGCGTGTGTGTGTGCGTGGGTATGTGCGTGGGTATGTAAATCATGTGCCCTCGTATGTATGTCACTTTGTGACTGCATCTACCACTGGCCTACTGGCACTGCCATGTCGTATTTGGAAAATATTGTAAATTATTATACATGGAATTAAACAAAGTACAAAAGATACATGATATATACAATGTGTTATTCTTTGGCTACGCCAGTCACCGAGATATACGTCACTGATTTTATGTAGTGTTTGAGCAACTTAAAGGTAAAACAATCTCAAAGGTAAAGTATTGTGACAAAAGCACCCCACTGCAAGTTTACAAACACGATCATTGGATCCTGGCGCTTCTAAGGGAAGCAACTCTTCGGAATAAATTCCGGCGCCTCAGAGGACTGTGTTTGCCTGGAGCACATAGTTCAGGGCCCCGTTCCTCAACGCGATCGTAACCCTAAGATGATCGTAACTCCCATACTTTAACATAGACTTACGACAGTCGTAACCCTAAGATGATCGTAGCTCCCATACTTAACATAGACTTAAGACAGTCGTAACCCTAAGATGATCGTAACTCTCATACTTTAACATAGACTTACGACAGTCGTAACCCTAAGATGATCGTAACTCCCATACTTAACATAGACTAACGACAGTCATAACCCTAAGATGATCGTAGCTCCCATACTTAACATAGACTTAAGACAGTCGTAACCCTAAGATGATCGTAACTCTCATACTTTAACATAGACTTACGACAGTCGTAACCCTAAGATGATCGTAACTCCCATACTTAACATAGACTAACGACAGTCATAACCCTAAGATGATCGTAACTCCCATACTTAACATAGACTTACGACAGTCGTAACCCTAAGATGATCGTTACTCTTATACTTAACATAGACTTACGACAGTCGTAACCCTAAGATGATCGTAGCTCCCATACTTAACATAGACTTACGACAGTCGTAACCCTAAGATGATCGTAGCTCCCATACTTCACATAGACTTACGACAGTCGTAACCCTAAGATGATCGTAACTCCCATACTTTAACATAGACTTACGACAGTCGTAACCCTAAGATGATCGTAACTCCCATACTTAACATAGACTTACGACAGTCGTAACCCTAAGATGATCGTAGCTCCCATACTTAACATAGACTTACGACAGTCGTAACCCTAAGATGATCGTAACTCTCATACTTTAACATAGACTTACGACAGTCGTAACCCTAAGATGAACGTAACTCCCATACTTAACATAGACTTACGACAGTCGTAACCCTAAGATGATCGTAACTCCCATACTTAACATAGACTTACGACAGTCGTAACCCTAAGATGATCGTAACTCCCATACTTAACATAGACTTACGACAGTCGTAACCCTAAGATGATCGTAACTCCCATACTAAACATAGACTTACGACAGTCGTAACCCTAAGATGATCGTAACTCTCATACTTAAACATACACTTACGACAGTCGTAACCCTAAGATGATCGTAACTCCCATACTTAACATAGACTTACCACTGTCGAAGCGCTAAGATGATCGTAACTCCCATACTTTAACATAGACTTACGACAGTCGTAACCCTAAGATGATCGTAACTCCCATACTTAACATAGACTTAGCACTACAATCGCTTTGAGGAACGAGGCCCTAAACAATCAAGAGGTCAACTCAAATGTATAGCAATATCTAGGAAATGCCATGTATGTAGCCTTCCTCAACATACGCCATATGTATCATGGCGTCTTTGGGTATTCACGATGCATCGAAAGAGAAAAGGGTGACTGAATTTACCTCGCTGTCTGAGAGGGAACATATGGGATGATATTCGAGGATCACTAAGGGTTATACGAAATCCTAACCATCACTACGATCAAGTCATTATAACTAAGGGTTATACGAAATCCTAATCATCACTACGATCAAGTCATTATTGCTACATAAACATTGATACATATGAATTTGTTGAAATGATGACTTCCAGTATAAGCGTGGCAATAGTTTTTAAATACAGTGAAATACGTTTGTAACGAACGCATTAATAACTATTAGGGTCTCGGCCACTTGGTGTATATTGTAGTCGAAGTGCATATAACTAACTAAAATAAAGTACTAAAATTAGCTGTACCTTTGAGTACGTTATGACCGTATATCACTACAGTATGTCCTTTGTTTCCTACAGAACGTGAGAGAGTTTTACGCCTCATTTTGCAATATTCAAGCAACATCACGGCGAGGGACACCAGAAATGGGCTTCACACATTGTACCCAAGTGGGGAATCGAACAAGGGCCTTCGGCGTGACGAGCGGACGCTTTAACCACTAGGCTACCCTACCGCCCCGTTATCCTCTACACGTCCCATATGATTCTGTAGTGCCCTTAAATTAGGCCTGGGTTGGATTTCCCACATTGGTTCTATGGGTGAAACTCATTTTGGTGTCACCTGCCATAATATTGCTTGAAAAAATAAGTGTTAGCCCACAATCACTTACTTTCATATGATAAATAAGTAATCAATGGTTATTTTACGATAATCAATCGATGGCCATTATAACGAAGATAGACAGTTTTGACGAAGACTGTCACTTGGTTCTGATAATACATTTTTAAACTCTTAAGGAACCGACCATTTGATATTCAGTAGGGTTGGTGGAAGAGGTTAGGAGCAGGGGGCGATTTTTGCTGGATTCTTATTTGAGATAGTACGGTTTCAGTATTGTTGCATAAACCTATATTAGCGCTACGACTATCTTAAGGCTGTGTTAGAATAGGGGATATCATCGAAGCGCCAAGATCGCTTTGTAAAAATGGGAATGAGGGTATATCGCTTTTTTTGTTTTGACAATTTACCTTTTTGTAAACAAACTATGTCTGTTACCGTTCAAATGATCGGTTCGTTAGAGGGGGTTCTTCGTCTAACAGTTCCAGGACCCAGTGGATTAGATTGTTTAAAAAACATGGATTAGTGTCTTATTGAAGATTTCGGAAAGGTCGAGTGGTCATGAAAGGTCAGACCACAGACTATCCGCAACCCTTAAAACAGCAGGCAAGGGTTTTTTTTATTGATAACGAACCCATATTATACGGTCAACCTCTCCTGGATGTCAAACATCGATCCTTCAGCAGATTCACTTTGGAGGATAATATTTTCAGGGGATGCTTATGTGCTAATGTCCATTCGATGCCTGTCGGGTCTAAGTGTTCACTGTACACAACAGTTTACCTATTGCACATTTCACACAATGATTATTTGATATAAAAACAGTCACGTTTAAGCACACGGGTCAAAATTCCATTTGGCCTTGACTGACCTATTGACCTTGAACTTCAATTTCAGGGTCATCTTTATATGAACTTATGACCTCCATTGCAGTACCTTCTTCAGTGAGTTCCCCGTTCTGCCTACTCTCTGAAAGAGAACCATTGTTTTTATACTGGCGGTACCGATACTGTCTTCTGACTACCATACAAATCTTTTTTCGGAACTTGATGAAAAGCGCACAGCACATGAGTAAAATGCTTGTGATGCCTGCAGCAACTGCAGCGACCTTGACCCGACTCAGAACGTCATGGGTATAAGGTTTAGCAATGTCACAGTTGAAGGTTGAATTGGAAAGCGAGAATAAATTTTTACCTCTGTATGAATCCGGAGCTGTGCAGGAAAGATTTGACGCATATGTTTTTGTCATCGGATTATTGGCGTTCTTCAGAGTTGTAAACATCCACACAATATTACAGTCACAGAACAGTTGGTTATTTCTCATATCAACAGTCGCATTTTTATCCCATGGAACCATGTTTCGATAAAATGTGTGAATGGAATTGGAACTTAAATCAAGAACCACAAGAGTTCCCCCGGTGGGAAAAGCCCTCTCTCCAATCGCCGTAAGAGCTTTATTGTTTCTTATGATGACTTCCGTTAAATTCGACATAAATTCAAATGTTCCATTTTCAATGGTTGTCAAGTATCTAGAGGATGTGACTGTCAGTTTCCGAAGACTTCTCAACCCATTAAAAGACCCCCTCTTGAAAATTTTGAATTTATTTTTACTGATGTCTAGTATTTCAAGACTTGTAAGACTTTGAAACGCTGGAGTTGGGACATCGTTCAAGTCTGTTCCTTTTATGGAGAGTTCCACTAAAGAGGTTCCAGAACCTGCCTTCAGCACGGCAAACGCTGATGGTTCTAAGCTTGCTAGATGGTTCCCATTCAAGCTCAAAAACTTCAGATTCCGAAGACCTGCAAATGCAAATCTGGGTATGCTCTTCAACCTGTTGTCATCCAAGACGAGACGGGTAACGGATGTCAGTTTTGAGAGAGCGGTTGTAGGATACACTTGAAGAAGGTTTCTTGTTAGATTCAAAACTTTCAAAGACTCCAAGCCATCAAAAGCATCGTCTTCGATGAATGAAATGTTATTTTTCATCAAATCTAATTGCTGCAAGTTTTTCAAGTCTCGGAAAGCACCGTTGGGTAAGGTTTTCAAGACATTGTATCCCAAGTCCAAGGTCTTGAGCGCGCGGAGACCTTGAAAGGTCTCGTTCGTCAACTTTACCAGATAATTCCGACGAAGAATCAGATTGTCCAGATTCTCTATGCCACTGAAAGCTCCGTCGCTGATGCTACTGATGTTATTGGATGCAACATCAACTCGTTCGAGTGCTGGGTAAGACTTAAGTTCAACTCCAATCTGCTTTATCCGGTTGCCCGAAACAAGTAACCTCTCAATCGTATCGGCAAGAGGAAGTGTGGAAGGAAGTGACGTCAGGTTGCTATGACGACAGTCTATAATGGTGGCGGAGCATGTACAACCATGTGGACAGCCGCCTTCGTCTGACGACGCACTATGTGCTATGAACAGAACGATGACGAGCGTTATCCCCCAGACGTGACGACACAGGGGACGATACCATCGTCACTGGATGAATCTAGAAAAAGAAAGAATTATTTAAAATGAGTAAAATTAGCAACATAAGTTATAAAAGCATGTTTTCTTTGTTTGTTTGTTTGTTTGTTTGTTTGTTTGTTTGTTTTTTGTTGAACGCCGCACTTTGCAATAGTTCAGCCATATGCCGGCGGTCTGTAAATAATAGAGTGTGGACCAGACAATCCACTGATCAACATCATGAGCATCGATCTACACAATTGGGATACGATGACGCGTCAACAAAGTGAGCGAGCCTGACCACCCGATCCCGTTAGTCGCCTCTTACGACAAGCATGGGTTGTTGAAGGCTAATTCTAACCACGGGTCACAAAACCATGTTAAAACGTCCTTTTATAATACCCGATTTTATTTAGAGCAGTGAATTCCGCAGATCACACATCACAGAGATATTTTTGACAAGCATTTTTTGGCTTAAAGGCCCACTTAAAGGTCCTGTAAAATAGAAAAAGAAATATGCATTGTTTTCACTTTTGTCATTCTCCTGTACAAGCGTCAGAGAGATTAAAGACAATGGAGACACAAACAACATGAATACGAATTTTCGAATATGCAATAATAATGGCTGACGGTTATAGCTACACTTTCATATGGATGTTTTTTATCTCTCCTCGAAACACGTAACTGATTCTCACAATATATCATATACCTTTTAATAGTGACATATCTCATCATCCCTATCATAAGTTGAGTGGTACATTTTACACTTGCATGACAGTTTTGTGCCTGAAGGTCGTTAAGCGCGTGACGTTAATGTGTTGAAAGTAAACCTTTTTACGACACACATTTGAATAACTGTCATCTCAGCTCCGTTAAAAATACATAATAACAACAGCACCGTCCACAGGTAACGGGCCATTCAATTCCATTCATGAGCCCCGATTGAGGACAGGCCCGATAGGGATGCTAGTTTCAATGCTCTCTCCAAACCTTGGACGGGAGAGGGCAAGGCAGTCATGAGCCCAAAATCGGGATTTCAATTTCGAATTCAGGTCGCGTTTTGACGATTATATATCATCACAGATGTCGTGCCCCGTGTCACTACTCTCGCTGACACTGCTGCCCCTCGTGTACGCGTCGTCTCAGTAACACAGTATCTAATATGGCAGCTGCCACGTCTAACACGAAAAGAGGTAACACTAGTACTGAACCTTGGCTACGCCCTACGCTGGAGACAGTGCACACATATTGAAATGAAGCTCTTTTGGCCCGATACATGTTACTGTCAGTGGAGGTGACATGTCCACGTTGGGTTTATTGGTTTAGAATCGGAGAAGTAAGCCATTGTTTACACTGTTAGGGAAAGTGTATATACTCAACATCAGAAAAAAACGCAACGTAATGGTTAGATTCGTATGAAATTGATTTGTAATAAATGATACATTTAATGTTGGAATGAGTGTTTTTTGGTTTCATGCTGATGTCAGCAATATTCCAGCAACATCGCCATGGTGTCACTGTACCCATGCGGGGTATCGAACCTGGGTATACTGCATGACAAGCGAGCGCTTTAACCACTCGGCTAGCCCATGTCCCCCAATTAGCAGTACAACCATGTAATCTTCTGAGGTTCTGTCGAGCTAAATATTGTTATAATATTGTTTGAATGAGACGCTTCTTTACAGTCAAGCTGTATATACTGAAAACAAAAATAAACGAAACATATAAGGATGGTTCTGTTGACCTTTGGTTTTGGTAAAAATAATACGTTATTTAGTAAACGGAAGAAATCAATTCATGTTAATCACGATAACGGTATTTGAATATGACAAAACATATGTCTTCTTTGTGAAAAATAATATTTCTCCACTGGGTAAAAGAGATGCAGTTCGCGGGTTCGACCCCCGGACGCGTCATATCAAAGACGGTACCATAAGGTACTTGTTGCTCCCTTCCAGCTGGCGCTCGGCATTAATAGGTACAACAAGGACTGGTTGACTCGGAGTCAGTATAATGTGTCTGAGTGGGGTATTCTAAGGGCATGGTATCTCAGTGAGCTAGCACTATAAAACCAGCTTAAGTCTGGGACGCATGCATGTCGTCATATGAGCGAAATATTCTCAAGTACAAAGCCATTTCACCATGCATCAACTTATAATGATATAAATATGTTATGATAATGGTGTTTTTGTCATAAGGTTTGCTATACCGAATTAATTATCTTCATACAAGCAGTTTGCCAAAATTAGTTCTTCGGGCAAACAGTACTACACATAAGCACATAAATGCACGATATGTTATTTTACATTCTAAATGATCATTATAATTAGATTAATGTGAAAATAATAATTGAGATCATAAAAATAACGTTCTCGCATACTCACCTATTCAAATATTTCACCCGTAAGCAATACATGTACTTCAACTGTTTTTACTCCCAACATGGTTGAAATATATGGTTCCAAACGCCATAAACAACATCACACTTTACAAACATACGGTGTTTGTTCAGGTTACTTATCAGGTACAGCCGGTAGTCGATACTAGTTGTTGTTGTTTTGTTGTTTAACGCTGCCCTCAGCAATTTTCCAACTATAGGCGGCGGTCTGTCATTAATCGAGTCTAAACCGGACAATCCAGTGATCAAAAGCATGAGCATCGATCTGCGCAATTGGGATATGATGACATGTCAGCGAGCCTGCGATATTTGTCAAAAGCTGCCATTTCAAACATATATACTCAACAAAAACGGTTAAGGACCATACCAATATTCAATATTCAAGCATGATATGCATCATAATATGTACTACTAAATCCACTAATATTGAAAATCGGGGTGGCTACCTTTTTTTTTGTTGTTGAGTATACATATTACGTTAAAAAGTCTCCTTCAACAAAAACGTTTAAGATCAGTAAGGATTCAATGTCCAAATTCCGCAAATGTTTCGTAATGGGTTTTTATAATCTCGTAAAGCTTATGTGTTTACCTTCTCGCTTGACAACAGTAAACAACAACAATTGTCCCACAACTTCATCTGTTAACGGTTTTGTTCCTCTGTTGTGTTTGTGGGGCCATGCTGAAGCTCGTGACTACCAGAGCAGGTGACAGACTGTTTTATCTGCCAACATGTCTGATTGTATTACCTATGTAGAGAAAAGCCCGGTAGATATGTGTGCAGATACTGCATTGTCTATATCAATGAATGTAGGTCATTGTCTGACCTACTTAAACTCGGTTGAAATACATAAAGTATCGTCTCGCTTGACACTCGGCTCTCCTGAAAGTGGGTCAGTCGCGACTTTACAAATTTCATTTTGTTTGTGATTTAATATCCATTTAACAATACACAAAAGTAAGGAGGCATCGATAGTTTGGGCGAGGCAATCCAGTGATTGGCGTTATGAACATCGATTTATGTCACTGAGATGCGATGACATGTGTCAACCAAGTGAGCGAGCCTGACCACCCGATCCCGTTAGTCGCCTATTACGATAAGCATGGGGTGCTGAAGACCAATTCTAACCCTGATCTTCACGGGCACTTCGGAGCGTATCACTCACGATAAGCTGCCGGATCTGCAAATTATGATTTCATTACAGGCTTCACGGTGACAAGTTACTAGTATGTTCGTACGGTTCGTGTGCAAATATTAAGTAGGTGTCGTTTCAATCCGATCCGACACACATGGAGATGTGCAATTTAGGAGATGGTACGTTCACTTCGAGACTTCAGAGAAAATCGGGAATTTCCATTTCAGCGAAAAACTGATCTGACATACTCACCGATATTGTAAGTATAGTATACTACTCACACTTTGATAAGGATCACAAAAATTCACAACTTTACTTAAACGTAGATTTATAATATGAAATTGTATCCATTTAAAACTGGATAAATACTAATATGGTAACCCCTCTTTAGGCAGACAGCCACTTTATTCTAACCTTATGCACTTGATACATGAGTCACCGTAAAAATAGTTTCATGGCACCAATCAACTATTTTGCAAATCATGAAACGAGTCATTGACAAATAAACAACACCTGTCAATAGCAGGTATGGGATCCACACGATGCAATGACATACTGAAACCTAGAAACCATGCTTACAATAAGCTTAAATGTATGAACCAATTGGACCCGACATCATAGTTTTCTATTTGATCCTCAGCAAAGTGTGAATAGTGGCCGTGTGATGTAATTCCAACCATAGAACGTCGGGGATACGCAGAGACACCAGTACAGGGCGACCCGTGGAGATCTGGGTTAGAATTGGTCTTCAGTAACCCATGCTTGTCGAAAGTGAGTTTAGTTTTACGCCGCATCCAGCAATATTCCAGCCATATTGCGAGCTTGTCGTAAGTGGCAACTGACGGGATCGAGTGGACAGACTCGCTGACTTGGTTGAAACACGTCATCGTATTCCATTTGCGTAGATCGATGTTCATGCTGTTGATCACTGGATTGTCTGGTATAGACTCGATATTTACAGACCACCGCCATATAGCTGGAATATTGCTGAGTGCGGCGTTAAACAACCAACCAACCCGTACATGGCTTCACACAAAGCAGAAAATCGAACCTCGACCTTCGGCATGACAAACGAACGCTTTCACCACTAGGTTACCCTGTTACCCCTCACGAACAATAAACCATGCGCAGGCTCCATTGTGACCACACGATCCGCAGTGAAACACCATGTGTACCATAAGGACTTCACCCCAGACACTCTTGAATACCCACTGTACGTGGCCCAGTGGCCCCCGAAAAGAATTAACTCATTTTTCGGAATGTTTTCAGTTTAAAAAGCGCAAATAACGAGTACAAATAAGACCCCTGTCCTTATTACAAGATAGTACTTGCATAGAGACGAAGCTATTACTGCCATTCAACGAAATCCACTCGAGCTCCTCGCAGTGTTTGACATTCTACTTACATACACTGTTAGGATAATAGGTTAACCTCTCAGCCCGTGATCCACGATCACGGCACAATGTGACGGCCATGCGTTGTATTCGGCGTTCCGTGTA